TGTACACATATTAGCCAGTAGTGCGGTGTATCATGCATGTACACATATTAGCCAGTAGTGCGGTATATCATGCCTGTACACATATTAGCCAGTAGTGCGGTGTATTATGCATGTACACATATTAGTCATTCTGAGGTTGAGGGGGGAAATGGGTCGTTTTTTTTCTAGGTTCGCATGATGAGTGAAGTCCTTAACTGCATCAAGCTCATCAAGATGTATGCATGGGAACCACCTTTTACTAAAACAATCACAGGTAGGAATAAATATTTTTATGTCTAGTTGTTCTAACGCTTTCGCACTAATAGCAACCAAATAATTGGCGTTTTTCTTTGTCTGTTCTCTAGACAAGAGAGCACAGGAGCGCAAAGCATTAACCAAGTCTGGTGTTCTCCAGGGAATCAACATGTCCATTGCTCTCATCGTACCGACTATTGCTACTGTGGCTACATTTAGTGTACACGTGGCTATAGGAGAGACTCTGACGTCGGCACAGGTAAGCCGTTCAAAACACGTTGAACTCTGACTCAGTTTTGAAATCCTTAATAAGGTTTTGGGATTGGGATCCCTGTGTATTAAAATGAGAGGGACTAGGGATTTGATGATTTACACAACACAGGACTCCCGAAAAAAATAAGTATTACAACCGATGACAGGAACAAGGAACTTTTTTCTAGTCCTCCCGAGAGGTTTTCCACAGGAGCCCCAATCGGGGAAAACTTAGACTAAAACCCGCCAACTTGTATATYGAAGCCCTTGCTTACTAATAACACACAACCCACATTTCCTTTCATTTTCGACTTGACTACATACGAGTAAAAACTTTGTAGAGTGAGTACATATTTCTTGTATGTGGGAAGTAGTTGTACTGAAGTGTTATTTTTTGATCCTCATGTAGGCATTCACGATCATGTCCATTTTTAACGTGCTTATATTCTCCCTCGCCGTGCTGCCGTTTGGAGTCAGGGCTTTGGCTGAAGCTAAGATAGCAGTTGGTCGTCTAAAAGTAAGCTTTTTAATGTTTATTGTAGTGAATAATGCATCTATGAAGACAATTAAGGTGTCTGTGTCGCGAGGGACAAACGTACCTTTGGCAGTATACTTACGGTCACTCTACCTACATTTAAACAATGTATGTTGTATATACTTACTATTATGGTAGCTATCAACTCAAAAACAAACGAATAAACGCAATGTCAAAGTATTATCTCTTTCTCATAGAACTTGATGGAAATGGAAGAACTTCAGCCGTTCCTGGACAGACCAGACAACCCTAATGTTGCCCTTCTGGTCGAAAACGCAGATTTTTCCTGGGATAAGGTGATTGGGCGTAATCTGAAGTGTATTTTTTTATAGAAGAGTAGCCACCCAAGTAGGGTCGTCACACAACCTTTGAAAACGTTGTGTGACGGCGTGACTACCCAAGAACGTCTGTGTACGAGGCTAATAGAACAGCAGCAAGAAAATACAGTATGTAACAGAACGCACTATCTGATATCATTATTTCTACAGGTTGATTCCGAGCAAGACAAACTAGCAGCAGCAGCTGCTGCAAAAAATGGCAATGTGTCCAACGGTAAATACAAATTTGATGCTTGATTTAAGAAAAAACCTTTCAAAAAATAATTTTGGAAAATAAGAAATGAAAATATGATATTATAAGAGGTCTGAAAGTCCACGCATACTTTTCATACAATCTAAAGCATTCACAGACCTTTTACACATTCACACAAAGCTTTAAAAGATTATCACACGCGACATGCGGTCGCTTCACGAGGCGAATATTTACTCTTAATTCCATGAATGAAGTCGTCAGCTCACTGGTATCATAAAGACAAAGGCGCTACACGTCTCCAGCACTGAAAGTCAAAAGCATCAACGGAAATGAAGATTTGACTTATTTCTTGCAGGGACATCAGGTAAGGGAGAGAGAAATAGCCCTCCTTCTGGTCCACCAAAGGGGCCCCCAGCTAACAAGGGCCCGCCAGGGCGAGGTCCCCCAGGCCGTGGCCGTCCAATGAAAATGAAAACCCATTTGGTTCCTACTCTATTCGATATCGATCTCAAAGTCAAAAAGGTACGAACAATAAAATAGGTTAAATCAAAGAATTAGGCTCAAGCCAAACGTCGAACTTCGTACGAGCCGAATCTAATGACAACAAAAAGCCGCCTTGTTATTCATTGTTTCAATTAGGTTTGGCTCATGTGAAGTTCAACGTTTGACCTGAGCCTTACACGAGGCAAGGACAAAACAATGACACAGGGAACCCGACATTTACATTATCTCGTTACGTGACGTTCAGTTTTTTGACGGCTCACAAGTCTGTGCTGGGTTCCCTGTGGTCAGGATAGCCTTTTGTTCTGTGACTCTGATTGTATATGGTTTCTTCCTAAGGGTACCTTGATAGGCATCTGTGGTAGCGTCGGTAGTGGGAAAAGCTCTCTTTTACAATGCATCCTTGCTCAAGTAAGTTGAAGATAACATTATCAATAAATAATGACTGAAGGATATGGCCTTAGAAACAGCAACTAAAAAGTCACAAGCAAACAGTAAAAGCTGTATATAGACAGTAGAAGTCATGATCTAAAACACTCAGTTATTCCCCCCAGTAAAGCTTTGATTGATCGATCTTGTTTTTCTCATTGAAGATGCGCAAAACTCGTGGTCGAGTAGCGATTGGAGGATCCATGGCATATGTTGCTCAGCAGGTAAATAGTGTTTTAAAAGAATGTTTTATTTTTTTTAGTTGTGTTTGTTATTGTTGTGGTAGTAGTAGTAGTTTTTGTTGTTGTTGTGTTTTTTGTTATAGTATTCGTAGTCTTGGAGGTGATGGTGGCAGTAATCAGTGGTACTGGTAGTGATRGTATTAGTGTGGGTAGTGGTAGTAGTGTTAGTGGTGATGGTGGTAGTACTATAGTTGTTGTCGTTTTAATGGTGGTGGTTCATCAGTTGTAGAAGTATAGTAGTGCTATAGTAGTGGTGGTGGTAGTGATGGTGATAGTTGTATAGTCGTAGTGAATATTCTTGTTGTTGTTGTATAACCAAATCAAGTTTCTTTCTACACAGGCCTGGATYATGAATGCAACTGCACAAGAAAACATTCTTCTTGGCAAACCATTCGACGAAGCGCGGTAAATTTTGTCTGTCTGCTTCTTCAATGCTTTTCCTATTTTTTGAAATACTCTTATTATTAACCAGGTACAAAGCGGTTTGCTTTGCTTGTTGTCTGACACAAGACTTCGAAATTTTACCAAACGGCGACCAAACAGAGGTGAAAGGTTATGGAATTATTTATGAACATTCATATTTCAGGAATAAAAAGTTTTCGATATTAAAGAACCATTATCGTTTGCTTGCAGATTGGTGAGCGTGGTATTAACCTGAGCGGAGGACAAAAACAGCGAATAAGTTTAGCAAGAGCATTGTACGCTGATAAGGTAACATAGGATCAGGTCAAACGTCGAACTCCACATGAGCCGAACCTAATCGAAACAATGGATAACAAGGCGGTCTTGTTTGATGTCATTAGGTTCGGCTTATGTGAAATTCGACGTTTGGCCTTATAGTCGGAGTGGTTGACCATGACCATGTGTCATTCCCTAGAGTATAATTTCTTTGTTTAACGGTTGCGTACGAGAAGACGCATAAATATGGATACGACTTAAACAAAGAATCCTATTCTCAAGGGAATGACACGTGGTCTAAAAAGGGAAAACATTGTTCCCAAGGTAACGAGAACCATTATTATTATTATTACCTCAGTCATTCCACCCTGATTCCATGGAATTTTTGCAAACTCCTCGGAATTTGTTTTCTCATGATTTCAGGACTTGTACCTCCTTGACGATCCACTTAGTGCAGTGGATGCTCATGTGGGACAGCACATCTTTAAACATTTGATCAAAGGTGCTTTGTGGGGCAAGACAGTTCTTTTTGCTACTCACCAGTTACAAGTACGTATGTCTATGCTTGTACCTATTCAATACAAATAAACATATATAATGATGATAATCATTCCTTGGTAGAGTATAGATTTGATACGATTGTGAAATTGGAATAGTTGACATAGTTTGAGCGAATCACATGCGCTTACAGCTCAGCTCAGTTACAATCACGTCCGTATTTGTTCTCGTCATCACTTTTGTTGTTGATGGTGACGGATAATGATGATGGTGATGATGATTGTGATGGTAGTGACGATAACGATGTTGGTGTAATGATGATGATGATGATGATGGTAATTGTGGTGGCGTTAGTGGCGACGGTTGTGGTGGTAGAGGTAGTGTTACACATTGCCTACATTCAGTGAATTTATTTCTTAATATTAATAGTTTCTCAGTCAATGCGACGAAGTGCTCTATTTAAAAGAAGGACGAATTGCTGAACAAGGAGAATACAACCATCTTATCAGAGATAACAAGGTACACAATATTATCCATCTTCCCCCCACAACCCCCCCCCCCCAAATTTTTTATACCTCTCACAAGCGTGCCTCCAACTGCTGTAAGATAAGGAAGGTATAAGGCTCCTTCGAGACCACTCTTTAACAGCGTTTTTTTTTTTTTGGATATTTGCTTTTAGGAATTTGCAACACTGATTCGTCAGTTTCTCCAAGAAGTCGAAGAGGAACTTGTCGAAGCTTCCAAAGCTGATGACAAGGATTTGTCATCGTTTTTAGAACGTGCAAGATCCAATAGCACTTGGTCAACAGCGTCTGCAGAAGACGTGCAAAAGATATTCCAGAGACAACTGAGCATTCGAAGTGTAGAGGAGAAAGACAGCGGGCTAGAAAGCTCTAATCAGCTAACAAGGAAAAGTAGTTTACGTTCGAGTGTTAGGGATACTCTGGAGCCGTTTAAACCACATGAAGCAAGCTCGTCAGATAAACAACAAGAGCGAGCAGCAAATCAACCTAAAGAGGACAACGATGTTCTGAAGTCTAGAGAAGAAGGTTTGTGAAGTCTTCATTTAATTGAAATATGTTACGTGTGTGTGTGGTGGGGGGGGGGGGGGGGTCGTTGCTGAATCACCCTACACTAGCCACAAGTGAACGGTTTAAGTTTACGACACAGTCACTACCACTACATTTATCTTACTACTCATGACTATCAACTCGCATGTTGAATTTTGCGGAGAGATATATACCCCGATATCATCCAAACAAATGACGACTGGGTACGAGTCTGTCCTTCAAATCCTTCATGCCCAAGAGTAGTCAAAAAGGCACTGCGGGGTAACGGAGAGAGGAAAAACGGACTGTCTTAGGGAAACCCCTCGTGGCAAGGGAACGAGCGGGAACGAACAACAAACAAACATTATTCTCTATTCTATTTTTGTCTCATAGCCGGTAAACTAACTCAAGCAGAAGACCGCGAACAAGGATCTGTAAAGTYATCTACGTACACCAGTTACTTCAAAGCTGCAGGAGGTGATGCTCCAGTTTCGATTTCTCTGTTGCTCAGGGTTAGTCTCGACTTTGTACGGAATATTCATGTATTACAGTGAAGGTCCGTGGAATTTCAAAGTGTTTGTATTGTTGAAGTCGTGCATTCTTCTCTTTATCAGTGGCACGAGGCTAACCCTGAGTAAATGAGTCTGGAACACAGCTGTGTTCTACGAATTCAAAAAAGGGCCAATTTCTGATGCTTTTTTTTTTTTTTTTTTTTTTTTTTTTTTTTTTTTTTTTTTTTTTTTTTTTTTTGCAGGTTACATACCGTGTATTCTTATGCTTCTATTCCTGATCTCAGTTCTTGGTCTACAGACGTTTATCGATTCATGGCTCAGTATCTGGCTTAATTCGGCCGCCACCCAAGTAAGATTAATATGATATCAAAGCTTYTTTTGCCCATACATTCCAGGATATCGAACTTAAATCTCATTAATATACCATTGCCTGGGTGCGCATTTGGCATGAGCTACTACGGTGCTGTCTCTCAACTCTGTGTTCAAGTCTGGGGTTGTATATTTGATTGTACTTGACTGCATATGTGTGAGCTATTTTTGTTTGTTATGTTGTTGTCTCCCTTGCCACGAGGGTTTTTCCCCTTTCATAACAATCAACCGCAGTAAATGCCGCGAATCCCTCGAAGTGATGGTTATAAAATATTTTAAAATAAAGACTGTTTATATTTTTCTTTTCTTTTTACCACAGAATTTGACGACTGCAGAAAATCCCAGCATCGTTCCGATTAATCCTGACAATAATTACTACATCATGGTGTACTGCGTTGCGTCTGCAGCATTTTTGCTATCTCTGTTTCTCAAGGCCTACTTATTCGTCAAACTAACCCTCAGAGGATCCTCTAAACTTCACGATCGCGTCTTTGCGAAAGTAATACGTGCAACGATGAGTTTCTTCGACGTGACTCCAACGGGACGTATTCTTAACCGATTTTCCAAGGATTTAGACGAAGTAGATGCCCAACTTCCTTGGACGATGGAGAGTTTTCTCCAGAATATCTCCAGAATTTTCATTTCTCTTGGCATCGTCGCGGTCGTGTTTCCTTGGTTTCTCATCGCCGTGGTTCCTCTTTTTATCATCTTTTTCATTCTTAATAAATATTTTCGTCGTTCTGTACGCGAGTTGAAGCGTCTAGACGGTGTTACGAGGTCGCCCATATTCACTCACCTACAAGCAACTATACAAGGGTTGTCAACCTTGCACGCCTTCGACAAGATGGCGCAGTTCAATGAACAGTTCAGTACCTTGGTGGATTCCAACACGCTTCCTTTTTTCATGTATTTTGTGTCTAACAGATGGTTAGCAGTTCGCCTGGATATGATTACTATTACAATCACAATCGTTAGTGCACTGCTGGTTGTACTGACTAAAGGAACTCTTCCTCCTTCTTTTGCTGGACTTGCGCTCTCCTATGCTCTTAGGGTAAGTCTTCTATTAATGAAAAACTCTTACGTTGTAGCGATACGGTATATTCGTAGCCGTACACTGTAGCCGTACTGTAGCCTTACTTTAGCCTTACTGTAGCCGTACTGTAGCCTTACTGTAGCCTTACTGTAGCCGTACTGTAGCCTTACTGTAGCCTTACTGTAGCCGTACTGTAGTCGTACTGTAGCCGTACTGTAGCCGTACCGTAGCCGTACTGTAACAGTCAAGTGTCTTAACCGTAACTATGCGATGTAATTGGATGAATTTCTGGAAGATGTTACGGCCGTCCCGTGTACTTGCTGTAAGTCAGTACCTTATGTATCTGACAATAAAACGTCAAGTAGGGCTGTTTTCGCATGTGTGGGAAACGTAAGGCCCTGGCTTAACGAGGAAACGTCTCCAGAAACATATTTCCCTAAATGTTTCCTAAGGTGGCAAAATGTCAGGAAACATCGGGAAACAATGTTTCCATGCATCTTGTAAACATGAAATGTTTCTGCTGCACAGCAAAAACATTTTTTGCGTCTTGGAAGCACAATTTGTTGCACGCAGCAATGTTTCGCATGTGGCTAAACTGGRAAACATCGAGGAAACATGCGCGCGGTGAACATGTTTCTGGAAACATGTTTCCTCGTTTAGCCAGGGCCTGAGACACTGACTTACAGCACGTACACCATAAGACAAAAAATTGAAATGGCTTTCTATGCCTAAGAATGGTTATCGCGGTATGAGTGGGAAATATACGGCATACGTACACGGTACGACATGCCACAACATTGAAATGGCTTTCCATCAAATGATTATCGTATGAGTGGGAAATATATGGCATACGTACACGGTACGACATGCCACGACATTGAAATGGCTTTCCATGAAATGATTATCGTATGAGTGGGAAATATACGGCATACGTACACGGTACGACATTCCGTAACATTGAAATGGCTTTCCATCAAATGATTATCGTATGAGTGGGAAATATATGGCATACGTACACGGTACGACATTCCGTAACATTGAAATGGCTTTCCATCAAATGATTATCGTACGAGAGGGAAATATACGGCATAAGTACACGGTACGACATGCCACAACATTGAAATGGTTTCCCATCAAATGGTTATCGTATGAGTGGGAAACACTGTACTCACTTACAGCACGTATCATGTTACGACATTCCGTAACTTTGAAATGGCTTCCCATAAGAATGGTTATCGTACGCGGCATGGCACGTACCGTACGTTTTCCACTGTCTTACAAAATGTGCTCAAAACACGCTGTCATTTTTGTATCAGATAACAGGTTTATTCCAGTTTACCGTGCGCATGGCGGCAGAGACTGAATCAAGATTTACAAGCGTAGAGAGAATGAATTACTACATCGATTCCATACCTATCGAGGCTCCGGCAAAGATCGAGAAGACCAAACCCCCCAAAGAATGGCCTGACAGGGGGGTCATTATCTTCAACCAAGTCAAGGTAATTGGAATATTTTAATACAGAGAATTGTGAGAAATATTTTCCCATTCCAGTCCACGTGCCTTTGCCTCGAGAATAATGCCATTCCATCAATTCTCATTCCAACAATATGAAACATCATTACACTAGCAACACAGCCAAAGACGTCTGGCTTTGTGGATTCTGTCAATCAAAAAACAAAACAAAACAAAACAAAAAAACAAAAACAAAAAAAATCTCATATGGCTGGAAATTTTATTAACTGATGCCAAAAAGCCAGACGATATAGCTAGTTAGGTGGCGTAACCATAAGATATTATATTTGCACTCACTAGGTAGAACTTCACAGGCTTTCAGCTCGACCCAGTTGAGCTGCACCACTGCTGTACATGCGGTGGTGATTAGCGATGACGAGTTTTTTCTCTTGAGGCATTATCTCTTTGTTCTACCTCGTAACAGATGCGTTACCGCTCAGGACTTCCGTTAGTCCTTGATAATGTGACTGGTTACATTGGAAGCCATGAAAAGATCGGTATCGTTGGCAGAACAGGCTCAGGAAAGTCTTCCTTGGGTGTCGTTCTATGGCGTTTAGTTGAACTTGCGGCTGGGACTCTTAAGATTGATGACATTGATATCTCCACCATAGGTAGGTTTATCTCTCGGTAGATGGTGTAGAATAAAGATATATAGTGTACAATAGAGTAGTGTGGTGTAGAAAAGAGTAGTGTAGTGTACAATAGAGTAGTGTGGTGTAGAAAAGAGTAGTGTAGTGTACAATAGAG